GTTAAAGGTGGTCGGTTTGTTGGTTTGCAATGGTGATCCAACTAAGGTCACCAAAAGGCAAGTAGAGACAAGTTGGTGATAAAAATGGAGACAAATGTTGGCTGACTTCTACTAGTTTTGAGCGACAGGTCATGCTCTGCTTGGATGATCTGTGATGATAGGAAGACATGAGAATTCGTCCAAGTCCTTTGGGGAAAAAAAAGTTACTGTGAAAGTTCCCATGCTGTAAGTCCTAAAATCCGATAGCCAATATGGGGAGTGGTTTGATCAAAAGTCAAAATTTGAGTGTTGAATCCAAAGCAATCAAAATGATTGAATGCCGTAGTAGTGCTGATGTGCAAATTTGTGGCTAAGATGTCGCTTAGAAATTAGAAAGTCACTCCTCTTTTAGACACGGAGGAGTCTTGGTAGCTTGTTTTGTCATCTTTTCTGTTATCTGGGTTATCCAGGGTTGTACCCTAGATTTCAGTTTGTTTGTTTTATTGTCAAATCCTTCCGTCCTTTATTTAATGAAATACAGTTTGTCCCTTTGTGCTTAATTTTTTCGCTGCTAGTTTTAGTGTCATGACATGCGTGCGGAATTTTTGGCCAGATCTTAGAAAATTGATTTAAGCTTGAATTGGATAACTGAGAAAAAGACACTTTTGAGGATGAAAAAGAGTTGAAATACCTTGGAATTAAGCCCGTGTAAAATTTATGTGGAACTAGAATAGTCATACCCGTGGGGTTAATGATCTTTACCTTCAAATCATTGTGAAGATCGGGTTTGAGGAAGAATTAATTGAAGTTTGGTGAAAATTTTGACATTAATGGATGGAAAGTGTCTTTTGACCACGACACACCAAGAAGACAGACATGTTCATCAATGTTGTGATCACGAAAGGATACTATGTTTGGCATTCTCGAGGCTGGGAGGCCCTTTTTCTGCTATCCAAATACTTTATACCCTTCGTTACCCCTTTTGAGCCTGTGTTATTTTCTTTGACCACCCTCTTTTGGAATCAAGTTTAGAGTCAAAAGTCAAAAAATAAATGAAATAAAAAATGAATAGGAAAGTTCATTCCCCAAGAGTAAAAACTAGAGCTACTCTTAGAAAGTTTAAGTAAAAAAAAAAGATCAGTCAATGGTCCATGCCCCCAGAAAATAAAAGTTGGAGCAACTTGTTTTGAAAAAAAAACAAGAAAAGAAGAAAAAAAAAGAGACAGAAAGAAGGATGAAAAAAAAATAATTAGGTCAGATGTTTGAACTACGTTTGACCTGATTCCTTTAAAATATGATACGTGGGCAGCCTTACACAGTTCGGTTCAACCAAATAAGAATTCAAAAAAAAGAAAAAGAAAAAAATTCCAGTATCTAAAACTGGGGCATGAGTTTGTTTTAGTTTTTTTTTTTTGAAAGAGTCGATTCCAAGAGTTGTAAGTGTACAACCCCTCATTTTGAGTCTACTTTGAGCCTTCACGCTGTCCTTTCTTTCCAGCCCTATCCAAAAACCTTCCAAATAAAGATCTCCTTATATGCCTTCAAGAATGTCAAGTGAAGCATGCAATGAGCGACAGTTGTCACGGGACATAGAACACTGTCAAGTTGCTCACACAAGAGAGAAAAAGAAAAAGAAAAGAAAAATGAGAGTCTTACAAGTGAAAACCTTCACGGGCACTGTAAGACGACAGTAAGTAGAGATAAAGAAATGAGAGAGACTTGTTGGTGAAAACCCCTCGGGGCACCACTAGTCGAAAGTGAGTCGTGAAGCTAACGCAAAAGATTGGCACGAACAAACCCGACTTCAAAGGTCATAAGAATGGTAAAAGGGGAAGATTTGATCAGTTTGATAGATCAGGTCGTTAAGTCCAAATGCATGTCATGATCATTAAGGCTAGTTATTCCTTCTGTTCTTCCTGACAGGGGCATTTCTTGTTAATATTGTTTCTTCGCATCATTTATGTCCTTTTGCTTTGAGTCAGTCCTCATCAAAACAAGCAAGAAAGGATTTCAAAATCTGCTACCAGCTTTTCAGTTGCACAAAGTAAATTTGGCCAACACCTCAGTTGCTACAGTCTATATGCCTTGAGGATTCATGAAAAGGCTTCCCCCAAAAGACTTTTATCAGCCTACTTGGCTAAAGCAAGCAAAGATAACCTCAAAGTTAATCAGGGACTCTCTGTAGTACTGAACAAGGACTATGAAGTGTGCACATCATGTAAAAGGCACTTACCAGTCGTGATTCTCTCTGACAGACAAATTGCTTCAAAAGCAAAAGGCCATTCAAGATATCAGAAAAGGTTATCTAAGAAAAGAAATCTCTTTTTGAGACAAGGCTGATTGAGCCACAAAACACCAATGGTATTGGAAGCGAAACAATCAGGGTTGATACAAAAAGTAAAAGTCCCTTGAAAGTAACAACAGAGTCTTCCAGCAGTGCAACCAACTACCAATACAGTCGGTCTTCCAAAGGCTGGAAGATCACAAAGCCAAGATGCCCAAGACGCAAGGCCACAAACCGACCACCACTTTTAAAACTGACAATTTTTTTTTGTTTGAAACAGGAACAAAGCAGTGCAAGGAAAGTGGTTCAAAAAAAATGAAAAGAAGAGAAGAGCCGACAAAGGGAAGTTTCTCAAATCTTTGCCTTTATCTGTCTTGCTAGTGTGCATAAAATTTTGCCATTGCTCTTTACATTTTTTCTCCTAAGATAAGAGAACCTAGTCTGATTAATCTTTCTCCTAGTATAGAAGTCTTAGTCTGATGAATTTTTCTCCTAAGATAAAAAAAAACCTAGTCTAATGAATTTTCTCCTAGGATAGAAGTCTTGGTCTGATGAATCTTTCTCCTAAGATAAGAAAACCTAGTCTGATGAATCTTTCTCCTAGGATAGAAGTCTTAGTCTGATGAATTTTTCTCCTAAGATAAGAAAACCTAGTCTGATGAATCTTTCTCCTAGGATAGAAGTCTTAGTCTGATGAATTTTTCTCCTAAGATAAGAAAACCTAGTCTGATGAATCTTTCTCCTAGGATAGAAGTCTTAGTCTGATGAATTTTTCTCCTAAGATAAGAAAACCTAGTCTGATGAATCTTTCTCCTAGGATAGAAATCTTAGTCTGATGAATCTTTCTCCTAAGATAACAAAAAAAACATAGTCTGATGAATTTTCTCCTATGATAAACGTCTTAGTCTGATGAATCTTTCTCATAAGATATAACAACCTGATCTGATGAATTTTCTCCTAGGATACAAAGTCTTAGTCTGATGAATCATTCTCCTAAGATAAGAAAATCTAGTCTGATGAATTTTTTCCTAGAATAGAAGTCTTAGTCTGATGAATCTTCAGGGGTCCCGCCTGGAAAATAGGGTCAGTTTTAGTTTCCTTAAGTTGTTAATCTTTAGCATTCCTTTAGGGGTTCCGCCTAGAGAATAGGGTCAGTTTTTAGTTTCTTTAAGCCGTTAATCTTTAGTTTTCCTTAATGTTAGGGGTCCCGCCTGGAGAATAGGGTCAGTTTTTAGTTTTCTTACGTTTTTAATCTTTAGCATTCCTTTAGTTCAGGGGTCCTGCCTGGAGAATAGGGTCGGTTTTTAGTTTCCTTAAGTCGTTAATCTTTAGTTTTCCTTAAGTTCAGGGGTCCCGCCTGAAGAATAGGGTCAGTTTTAGTTTCTTTAAGTTGTTAGTCTTTAGTTTTTCTTAAAGTTCAGGGGTCCCTCCTGGAGAATACAGTCAATTTTTAGTTTAGTTTAAGCTCAGTTTATAGTTTTACCTTAACCTCAATCCCATAGGAGACGTACATCCTAGTCGAGTCTTTAATGTTACTCTCATCATTGCATCCTTCATCAATAACATATGTGATTTATAGTTTTGCTAACAACTCACAAATCTTCCTAGTGCAAACTGAGGCAGAAAATCTTGTTCGTTTTGTTTGTTAGATTGCAAGCACCCACCTGGAGAACGAGGGAATTCATTTCAGAGTTATTTCAATTTTCAAGACAGTAGGATCCCGCCTGAAGAATAGGGTCAACCTCCAGTTTTGTTTTCAATTCAAATCGGAAGTAGCACGAGTTGCCTGAAGAATAAGGTTTTTACCTCAAGGCACGGGGTTCGAGATGACAAAAAAAGAAGTCTCAATTCAAAATAAAGAAAAGAAAAAAAAGTGAATACAAAATACATAAGCAGATGAAAGATGTGAACTACTCAAGACATGACTGAAGTCACGAGCACTGCATTCCCCATTTTTATCAGAAGAAGCCGTAGAAGAATGAACTAGCACCTGCAGCTAGCAAGCATCAAGGTTAAAATAAAAAGTCTGCATGAAGAACCATTCAAGACTCAATATCAAGCTTTAGAAGACTTATAGATAGGAATCTTGTAACTCATAGCTGATAGGCTTGTTTAGTTCCTTTAGATTTTGATGTAATAACAGGACCACGGACCGGAGCCTCGACGGAACCTCACTCGATTCTCCAACTCATCATTCCATCATTCTCCTTGAACTACACGCGACCTGATTTCCTTATCACCCGAGATATGTAGGTTGTCCAAAATCAGGATTCGGTTTCACTCTCTTCTCTTTTCTTTGTTTCTTCCTTTTTGAATAATGGTATGGTCAAAAATTAGCCATACGGCTCACCTTGTCTTTTCCTGAAAACTCTTCATGTTTCCAAGCAAAGAGGGGCATGCTGTGAGCACCTAATTTTTTATCATATTTAGATTTTTTATTACTTTCAGTATTTAAATAGTTTTTAAGATTAATCTTGATATTTTAGCTTGTATTTCACCTTTTTATAGATTTTATTTGATAAAATTGAAATCACAAAAATAAAAGAAGATTTAATTTGGACTAGTTATCCTAGAGCCTTGCTTTGTTCAAATGTCCAAATCATGACCCAAATTGGGCAAAACCTGAACCCAATAGCCAAAAACCCATTTTTCTAGCCCAATCCCTTAACCCTAAGCCCTTTCTCCTACCATAAAGAGGGATACACACACTTTAGGGAGGGGTCCGTTTTCTCTCTGAAAAGAATTCTTTCCATTCACTCTTAATGGATTCTCTCATCTTTGTCACTCTCTCAACTAAATAACACACACACAGAAACGAAAAGGGGGAACTGGAGGCCAAACAAAAACCTAGCAGCTTCATTCTTCTTCACCATTTTTTTTATACAAGAATACTTCATCTTCCTCACTTAGCTTCACCATAAAAATCACTGTTCACTTTTAAAATTCAGCAATGAAATGCAGTTGAATCACCAGCAAAATACACCGCAAATAGCCCCAAAAACCAGCAGCTCGGATCCAGTCCAAAACGTCACACAAAACAGCAAAAATTCGAGCTCAAAACAGCCTCAAAACTCATGTAAAACTCCATTAAAGTTAGCCACAAACCACCAGCAAAAAGGACCTCCAAACCCAGTTTCATCTCCACCCCAAAACACCCCATAAAACACCTCAAAATTCAGCAAAACAGCTGCAAAATTGCTGAAGAAGGCTGTCAAAAACTGACCTGAAACATCCCCAAAATCACTCCAAAACCCAGCTGAAAATCAGCCAAATTCCAGTCCCAAACCGGAGCAAAATGGCCAAAAATGCAGCCAAAAATAGCCGCAAATCAGCTGCCGATAACTGCCAAAAAGATCCCCAAAAAACAATGAAATCGGCCGAAAAACCAGCTGAAACAACCACCCAAAACTAGCTGGAACGAAGCACCAAACTACCCCAAAAATAGTCCTCATCGCATCATATTTGTCGATAAGCAGAGCTTCGTTTCAACTAGGTAAGACCACCCACGTTTAGTCGAGTTTTTTTTGGAGTCGAGTTCGAGGCTTCTGGAGCGGGTTTCGATTTGTGGTTCCTTTGGTGCGAGAATTCGGGAGTTTCCTTTGCTCATGTAATTGAAGAAGTTTTCATCTACACAAAGGTCATTTTTTTCTTAATATTATGGTTTTAGTTGATATTTTACTATGATTGACCTAGCTAAAAGTTTTCAACTGCTTTGTTTGTTTACATCTCTGAGAATGTGTGTTGGATGTTTGTTTTGTTTGCTAATTCTTGAGAAGAAGCAATATGACTTGAATCTTAATCCTTCATAAGGCATAAGTTTGGTATTCTGTTTGTGAATTCAAAAGCTTAAATGAATGAAGTTTTGTGTTTTTTGAGAAACATGTCATTATGTTTGCACCATTTTAGCCTGAGTCAGTATGTTAAGAATGACAAATTTAATGTGAATTGCTGCGAATGAATTTGAAACGTAGGGTGCGCTAGGATAATTCAAATGGGCCATTTGGTCGACTGGAATCAGAATAGAGTTTGGATCTTTCTTCTAACAGAACTAGGCCGAAAAGATTTAGTCTTGCGAGGCCCAAAGTAATAAATAATATAGCTGACACATCTTTCCTTGCCTTACAATCATCTCAACCTTAAGAAATTAATCAATTATCGAACATCGTAGTTTGTTTTAGGCGCGATTAATAATAAATCATTGTGACTATGGGTACGGTTCTCGTGGCATGGTCACGATACATAAATCCCCATTCAAGTGCGCGTTTTACGCGACTTGACCTCAACTTTAAATAATAATGAAAATTAACATGTTGTGAATCGCGGGTGCATTTCACGTGGCGCGATTCGCAATGTGTACAAAAACAAACAAGCGTGCGACATCGTGACTTGTTCAAACAAATTCTATAAATATTAAAAGCGGTGAAAGAGTAAAAATGCACAATAGATTTTAAATATGTAATAAATCAGATGATTAGGCCAATTATTAATAGTTAAGCGACCATGCTAAAACCACGAAACTCGGGAGTGCCTCACACCTTCTCCCGGGTTAACAGAATTCCTTACCCGATCTTCTTTGTTCGCGAACCGTAAAATAGAGTCAAATTTCCTCGATTTGGGATTTAAAATGAACCGGTGACTTGGGACACCATCATAATTATTCCAAGTGGCGACTGTGAATAAATAAATAATCCCATTTCGAATTATGTCACTTTAATTGGACAAACTCCCATATCCCTCGGGAAAAAGGAGGTGTGACAACTTGTGAAATGTGATTTTGAGGTGTGGTACCTCGGTTGTAATTCTGATTGTACATCCTATGTTTGGAACTAGGGTTGTGCATAATTTGATAAATACTGAATTACCGTACCGGAATCGAAAATTTTGGCATTTGATATTTTAGTAATCGGTTATGGTATTTGATTTAAGTTTTTATAAATATTAGTATTTGGTATTTTAAAATGAAATACTAAATTACCGATACGGTACCAAAATATATATATTATATTACACAATACACATATAATTAATTATAACATACATATAAAAAATCTAAAATTTTACTTTCCTTTAATCTTTAAGTTCATTAGTTAACTCTAAGCAAGTAACAGGACATTTCTAATGATCAAATTTAGTCTTTTATGTACAGTTTTCTCTTTATGAGTTGATATTTTCTAGTTTTGGACAAAACTTTTGTCAATAAACGTTTTCAGTTTTGTATTTTTGATTACTTTAGTTAAGAATATTACAGTTTATGACTCTATGCACTAGTTAGTATTCAAACCGAAATTACTGAATCGAATAAACCGAAATCGAAAGGAGAAAACAAAACCATACCGAATTTAATTAGGTACGGTAATGGTATAGCATTTTAAGAAACCAAAACCGAAAATACCGAACGAAAATGTCTAAATACCGTACCGACCGACGAACACCCCTATTTGGAATGGTTTTATTGATTGAATGGTTATTGTTTTTCCTTAAATCATGTCACTTGTATTTGATTGTATTTGGTTATTTATTGTTATTCTTGTGTTGGAATAATTGTGACCACTTGTGCGAGTCATGCATTCTACGTAATTTGTTGTGTTACTTTAATGTGCCAATTTGTGCCTCTGTTGTTACTTGGTGAATTGATTGTCAAGATGAATTTACTTACGTGGAGTCATTATCTCATATTCTGTTGAGTTGTTGGTAACATAATGGATTTTAAATAGAAGAGTTATTAACATGCTTTACTTTATGTGGCTCTTAAGATAAAACTCGTCATCTCACTCGGTATTTTACTATTTTTAGATGGTTATCATATTTTAGTTTAATTGATTCGATCTCAAATTAAACTCATTACCATATTTGATGTTTTACTTTACTTAAAATTGTTATCACGCTTTACTTTAGCTAATTCTATATTAAATTCGCTAACTTATCTGATGTTTTACTTTATTTAAAAATGTTATTTTACTTTACCTTATTGACTTCTAAACTAAACTTATTTGATACCCTATTTTGTATAAATTATACTTTATTTTACGCTTTACTCTATTGATACTATTCTAAAATAAACTCATTATCTCATTTGACGTTTTACTTTATTAAAGATTGTCATTATATTTTATTGTATTTAAATAAATCACTCGAACATTTTATTTGGCATAGCGCGTGGACTTTGCCGTGCAAAGGTGATTGATAATGTGGGCACGAGGTTCCATATGTGCCAGATTCGTGATTGGGCCTATGATTTGTGAACAGGGGGTGTGATGCCTCAGAGTGATTCTTGTTGTGCATCATGCGTTGGAAAGACTTGATTACTTGAATTGGCATTTATTTTTCCTAATTGATTTCATTCACATTTTAACTATGTTCTGATTACTTTGCCGTTTTAGTACCTGTTTATTTCTTGTTGCCATTTGATGTTTTCACTATTCCATTGTTAGCCTTATATTGATGTTCTTTCCACTGTTAGCTTTAGATTTATATGCTTACACGGGTTATTGTCTAGTGGGTATTTTGACTTACCTCGTCAGTACTCCATCGAGGTTAGTCTTAATACTTACTGGGTACCGCTGTGGTGTACTCATACTACGCTTCTGCACATTTTTGTTCAGATCCAAATACTTTTAATCGTGTTGGTTTGAGAGTAGTGTCTGCGCGGCTGGAGACTTCAAGGTATACCTACTTGGTGTTCACATGCCTCGGAGTCACCTTCGGATATTATCTTTAATGTTGTTTATCTTTATTTCAAAACAGTATTGTATTTAGAAATTCTAGTGTATGTCAGTAGAGCTTATGACTCTGTACTACCTAGTCTTGGGGATTTGTAGTGATTATCGCCGTGTTGGCATGTATCACCTTTAAACTTCTCATTTATATTAATTCCTGCTTCATATTATCATGTTTAACTGGTTTTACTGTTGTACGTAACCGGTTTACCTAGAGACTAGGCGTCATCACGACACCTATGACAGGATTTTGGGTCGTGACAAATATAATCATATAAAATGCACCCAGTGGTGTGTAATAGTAGTCAATGAAGTGGGTGAAAACCATGAGGTCTCAGTTTCAAAGGTCAAACGGCAATTTGCATTTTAAGCTGAAATAGCTATACTTTTATTTCGTTCTTAATTTAAGAGGAATGTTACTGCTTCGAATTCAAAGTAAAGTTAAAAAGAAAAACAAATAACAGCCTATCATTGTTTCACTCCAATGCCTCCACATCTCTCAGCAAGAAGCAAAAGAGAAAACTTTAGGAGTTATAATGACTCATAATTGTTTAAGTATTGAGTATGTTCTAAATATTGAGTCTATTCTCAGAGGAAACACTATCTGTAGTTTTCATCTTTAAAAGCCTTCGAAGAGAGACCATCACTATGAAATTTCTTTCAAATAGAATGCAATTATCCATCAGGAGGATGTAATCAATGAGCCAGTTTTACAAGTTTGAATTCCAAAAAATAAATGGCCTATCGCTTCTCTCATCCTTTTTTTGTCCTTACAATGGCAGTGAAAGTACATTGTATGACACTGCATTGTTCATTTATCTTTTGATGTACATCTTATCAGGAAATATAATGTACAGAGATCAAAGCAAATATGGAACAAGCTCTGCAGTGTCACGCAGATATTACTTTACCTCCGAGCAATTATTCGGACCAACTGGTTCTCTCAAGCAGGTTGATATTGCCATAACAGCAGCTTCAATAGACGCATCTTCGCCCTGTTTCACACATCAGATTCATACAAGACGCCTTCAAAATCTAAATTCAACTCTAAGGGAAAAGAAAAATTAACAGTTTTACCTTTTCTTTCCAATAAAACATGTTCCCGTATTGCCCGGCCAAACGGCTCCAGAAGCTACGTGGAATGTCAAGATCCACAGTAGCTCCAACATTGAAATTTAGTATGTTGCCTGAACAAATACAGAAAGCACCGAAAGATAAGCCAACAGAACAATTGTAATCTGAAAAAAGAAGAATTTCTGCCGTATTACCAAAGGTAGGATCAGCAACAAAAACTATAGTCCTGTCGTCCACTTGCCAAAAATCTTTGATAGCTAATCCTGTGAATATAGCATTTAAACGTCATATTACACATCTAGCAAAAATTAATCAAGTTGGAAGATAAATTGGACACCAATAGCAACATATGTACCAGGTGTATCAGGATAGTTCTGAGCTAAAACTCTCAGCTTAAAACCAGTAACCTTTTCTATATCCGTGATCTCTTCTGCAAGTCTTTTCTCCTGCAGACTAGTAATAAATCATGAGAAATTCTTTTTCTTCGTATCAAAAAGAAGTTCTTGTAGTTCAAGCAAACATTAGTACGCATAGGATAAGATAGTATGCTCCTTATATAAACTAAACCTTAAGCCACTATATTAAAAGCTCCTAAACAGAGATGCACCAATGTGAAGAAACTACATTGGCAGTCAGCCTTATCTGTTTCCTTATGAAACTAGCATACCCCGAAAGACAAAATAAAAATAAAACGCAGAAGAACAACCAAACTGTATTTTCCAAAAGTGAGATCCAGAATCAAAGAGAATGCAACAAGAAAGCAAACTTCTACTTGCTTGTGGATTTAAAATTCAGACATTAGAAGGGCAAATTTTGAAACCGCACATCCAAAGTCTTTTAGCAGAGAAAACAAACTAGAGAAAAGGCAAGGCAAGTATAATGAGGAGCATAAGCTACATGAAATTTCTCTAAAATAAAGGGACCACATATCATACCTGACCATCTGAGAGGAAGCCAGCAACATCAATAACGGGAGTAAACTCCTTAGGAAGCAATTCCGGCTTGTTAACTCCGACCTTTGCTTCGGCAATACCAACTCCTACAAAGGTTGGTTTAATTTCTACTCAACATTCTAATCTATATTATTATAAAAGTGGGAACTCCAAAATGAAAAAGTTAAAAGACTTAAATACCCCTTTAAATAACTTAAATATTCCTACCTTTTTTTTGATAATTAAATTTCCGACTTATTATGCCGAGAAAGCAAGATGTCGTTTGGTAAAATGAAAATGGCACCATTATGAGAAGACGGTTGTGTAAATGTTTGACACCGACACACAAAAGATTGGTTATTCACAACCGACCATGACTACAAAAAGTGGCCAATACAATTTATATCCGCCTGTTACAATTTGTCGGAGCAATCTCCCATGAAATTTGCAATGAGTCTAGACTTAATGATGTCAATATTTTCTCTCAACTCAATGAAGTAACACCGTCTTCCCCTCCATTATGGATTTGACTGTCAAACAAACCAATTTGTGGGAACATTGAGATGATTTTACCAAGCACATGTCAATTTTAATTTTGGCAGTGCATGAAAGCAACAAATACACCTACGAATTTTTCAAAATTGGAATAAATGGTCCACGATTTTAAATTTTTGTCGCAGTTTATTCCAGGACCCCTTACAGATTTTCCAGAAATGAAGACGGAACCATTTGTTGAGGTAGACATAAAAGCTTTCAATTTGTAGCACGCACAGTATAATGTGTTTTGTCATCAAACAATTTCGTAGAAAAATCTCAATCCCAAGGTGATGATAGAATAAGAAAACAGCAAAATCTACTTTCTTTACTTTCCTCATTATTAATTAATATGTCACTTGTGATTTTTGGAATCTTGTTTCTACAAATGTTGGAATAAATGTTGGTTATGTGCTGATCGATCTCAAATATTTAAAGATTGAAATACCTTTTATATGCACTTCATTCATGTCTTCTAAAGAGAAAAATAAAATATTAATATTTTGGGCATTATACTTAGCAACAATATGATTCTGAGTTACCATTCAGATGGCAGACACTTTGATTATTACGTTGCAAAGTCTTGTGAGAAAGGAAAAAGAAAAATAAGTCTATGATAAGTATCTTTGGAATTTGATATCAAAACAAAAAAAAAAAAAAAAAAAAAAAAAATCAACTGCTCCAATTTCATCTCTATCGAATTTTAATATCAGAATAGCGGATATAGTCATGATTCAATAGGTCAGGTTCACTTACTTTTNGTACATTTACCGACTCCTACTTAAATCAAAAATCATGTTGTCAAATTTGGAAAACTAGGATGAATGATGCAGAATAACACGTATGGCAAGAACATTGTTGTAGTCATTGAATGTATGTTTTCTTTAGGTATAGCCTTATCTCCACTTCCCCCCACTCCCACCTCAAAAGAAAATCGGTAATAGTTTTATATATACTCAAAGAGCATAAACACAATACTATGTCTAAAAGTCCATAAGCGAACTCCATCTCCTTTCTTTCCATTTCAGGACTTGGACGATGTCAAGCAAACTAAGCTTATCGAGTTTTTTAAACGTAAGTTAATTTAAAATATGGACTGTTTATCTACATTGTCTTCAATATTGCTTAAAGCTTGAAGTTTGTGATGGAGAACAATGTCCGTGTTATACATTTTAATTTGATGCTGCAAAATATTTATTAGCTAGGTTGCAATGTCATCTCTGAGAAGGTCAGAACTTACTCAAAATTTTGTTTTATTAATTGATATTATTTTTATAAAATGGTGTACGATCCTATGATAAGGTCAGACATCATTCATTTGCTCAAAGTTATTTTAATAATATTAATATTATTTTACATAACTGGATATACACGTGCAACGCACGTGCGAAAAACTAGTCCAAGAAAATAAGTGTAGAGGTATCAATGCACATATTTCCTAAAAGTTAGAACATATCCAAGAAATCCTGAAGTACATTTCCTACTGAATCAGAAAATTATTCATTTCCCCTTCGTAAATGAAAAGAGTATCCAAGAAGCTCAAGAGAGTAACATTTTCTCTAGATGAAGAAAAAGTTGATATATAAGTGGCGAACTATGGAGCATAAGAACAACAGCCAAATCACTGTGATGCAAATAATAATTAAAACACCAACTGAGAAGTTATGAATAATTTAATTAGGTTAACATCCATTGACGTGATAGAAGATATCAAGATTCCAATTGTTAACGTTTAGCTTGTAGGAGGCTAGAAGCTTAAGGATGTAAGATAGCACTTAATCTATGGAAAGTTATGAAGTAAGATGATTCCAGAATAAGTTCAAGTGCTTGTTTCATTTCAACACTATAAATCAAGTTCACTAACATAATTCAGTGTCATTTCAGAAAGCCTACAAGTGGTTCTGTTGTGTTGCTAACCTGGAGGACTACTTTGGAAATTTCATCATAGGCATGTATCTATCCAAGATTCCTCTGCCCCATCCCGGGAAAATCTGGCATCGCCTGCAATATGGCTTATGTATAGGGGTAACTAAGCATGGAAAGATGAGCTTGATAGGATAATTTCAGGTCTCTACTTAAGAGTTTTGGATATTGGCTGTTGAAGCCAGTAATCTGCGTTCTCTACAATCGAAAATTAACAGGATATTGCATCTTGCAAAAGAAAAGCAAGCTATGAAAGATCAGAAATCACATCAAATGTTAGACGCAGATTACAGGATTGCTAAGACAAGGAAACTTGGAAAAGCCAAAACCTCTCACCACCAACCCAACCCCCGCAAGAAAGGAAGACAACAACAACAACCCAGTATAATCTCACTAGTGGGGTCTGAGGATAGTAGTTTGTACGCAGGCTTTAACCCTACCCTAGGGTAGAGAGGTTGTTTTCGATAGACCCTCGGCTCCCTCCCTCCAAGAAGTCCCCACCTTGCTCTTGGGGTAACCTCTTGGTTGGAAGTGGAGGGTGCTCACCACTAGAACAACCCACTTTTGTCCGCAAGAAAGGAAGAAATAAAACAAAATTTTCGTGACCAGGGATTTATGGATCAATCAACTATGCCTAGCTGGAGTTGACAATATGAATCCTATAGAGTATCCATCATAGATACATTAAGTCTATGCTGACCATGAACCTAAGGCAACCTCCTCCTTTATCCTCGATTTGGCATTGGCTATCCTTTCGGAAAGTCACATAAGCATATCTACAAAATGGAGCACCCAAAGATATGGACTAGTGATCAATCAATTGGGAGGAGAACCATGAGGTCTAACGTTCAAATCCTACAAAAGGCAAAGAACACTAGGTGATTTATTCTCATCTGCCTAAGCCTTGGTGGACAGAGTTATCTGGTACTTATGCTTAGTGGAAAGTAGCAAGTACCGGATGGGATAACACGCAAGCAGGCTTGGACACCACCGTCATAAAAAAAAGATTATCTTCATACTAGTCTCAAAATAATAATTTGATGAGTTATGAATAATTCCGTGAAGATCTATACATCATATAAAACGGGGACAGTCACAATTAGAAATTTTTATACTACATGTCAATGTATCTACTAGTTAGCTATAGCTACCAGATAATTCAGTGCTTACTCTGAATTCCTCGTAACTTGCTTTTGCAAATCCTTCCAACCCATCTAAGCTTTTAATACAAATGGCACAGCGAAAAAACGGCAACATTACAAAAGAAATTCAGAGCAGTAAATTTACAGTTCTATCATTAGGACAAAATTAAGTCGAAATTTTAAGATTACTAGTAAGAACCCATTTGCAACAAATTATAAAAAAACTAAAAGACAATGTCTAAAGCAATTATCAAACAATAAAATTTAAGGGGAAGATAAATAACCTGTGAAGGAGAGAGCAAGAACTAAAGAGCCAGAGAGCACGAAATTCAAAGTCTTGGATGAAAATTCCGAAAATTTGGATAATTGGGGTACTGAGTTTTCATTTCGGACTGAAATTCGGAAATGGGAATGTGATGCTTTGATGGGATGGATAGAAGGAGAGTAACAAATGTTGCGAAACGTTAGAGATGAAGGAAGATGGAAAAGAGAGGCCATTTTTAGTGTTCTCGTGTCTATTGGAATGGGCACGTATCCTCTGTCTAGAATATTGTATAGTAATTTATTTCAAAAATAGTGAGATTTATATGGATGTTAATTGAAAAATACTCACGGTTCAAAAGTAATCAAAATTTAGCCATTTTTTATATAAAGATAAATTTGAACGAAAATACTGTTTAAAATTCGAAAAATATTCCATCATATTATACTGAAAATATATCGGTCCAGCATAATATGTTGGAAGTTCACACACATGTGTTCCAATCTCCAATATATTATGCGGCAACTTTCCGCATATTGGAGTTTCAACATAATATGCTGGAAGTTTATATACAGGTGCATCAATCTCCAGTATATTATGCTGGACCGGTCCGTATTGCAGCAAAATAGTGACTATTTTTCAATGACTTTGCAAATGGTGGCTATTTTTGAATTACCAGTCTGAAAACTGACTAGTTCTTGCTATTTTTACAATTTATTCCTATTCTTTTTAAACTTTTCTTTTTTCTTGTGACCGAAAACTTGGCTTATTGTTTGGTGAGGAATAAAAATATTTTTTTACTACCAGTATTGCCCCTCTTTTTTTTTTTCCTTTCCCTCAAACCTCATAGTGAAAGGTTAGGTTTGGCCATAATTTTTTTTATTTTTTTGGAAAATTTTACTTTTTTTGTGGAATCAGTGTTAAAAATTTAAATTTCACTGAAGTTGAATTTTGAAATTTTTCAAAAATTTAAAAAACTCTAAAAATCAGTTTTTCAAAATTTTCACTTCAGATCGCTGATAAAAACTCAAAAACAGCTCCAAATTGTATTCATGTCCAAACACAACTCTAATTTTTAAATTATCATTTTTACTTGAAAAAAATTGCTTTTTTTCGAAAATTCACAATTCTTATGTCCAAACGCCCACTAATTTACTTTAGCAAATTAAAGAGGAAAAAACAGATTTAATAACAATAACATACGCAGTGTAATTCCAAAAGTGAAGTCTAGAGAGCCTGAAGTGTACCCAGACCTATTCAATAAAGTAGAAAAATTATTTCCAATGGACCTACGCCTCAAGGAAAAAAAAAACAGATTAAAGAGTGAAAAAGATGTCTTGTAAGTTACTTAAGATGCTAGAGTTCTTGATACTATTACCCATAATCAAATGCTTAAAGTATTTACAAAGTATCAATACTATTATAATTTATTCACAGCCAAACTCTTATTTTGATGTAACACGTAAACAACTATTTTAGTTATCGATTGTCAGATAAGCGTTAAAATTTCACATCCCCTTTTTAATTTTTCCTCTTATTAGTAAAGTGGTACTATTGGTGGAAAAAGAAAGTGAAGTGGTTCTCTCCCTTTATATGTAAACAAATAAAATAAAATGAAATACTTGCTATGAATTTAAAAAGGTAAAGAAAGAATATTTAAGGGAAATGTCATGTGGAAAATTTTGTTTCTAATTTGTGATATTTGATTAGTACATATTTTTAATATGCACTTAGAAATCATAACAATCTAAAAATTTAAGCTAAGAAAAATAGAAGAAGAAGATAAAATATAGTAAGAATTATAAATATTAGTTCAAAAAAATTATTATACGCATAGGAAGTTAAAAAGCTTAACTTTATAAAGTAAAGAATTTCGAATATGCACATTAATAAATTCTTTGACAATCCTAAGTCAAATTTAACGTTATAAAACTATTTTTTATAGCTTACACATTTGTTTATTAATATTGAAGATATTATTATTATAACTTTTAAGGGCATAGAAGTCCGATAATATTATAGGGTCATTATTCTTTCACATTCAACTTTTGATCTCCATGCTTATAATATAGTATGATATGACGATAACTTCAAAATTGAGAGTAATATATTCTAAAAATAATTTAAATTATCATACTTTTTATGTATAAGAAATTTTTTTAATTAATGCATGATTAAATATGGTTAGTAAAATTTCAAGGAACCAAATCAAAATGCATCAATAACTAAAATGACCAAAACTGTAATTTCCTTTTTCGAACTTCTACTGAAATCAATTTACTTCTATAAATAAAGGTTCTGGGCTCTCATTTTCAACTCCTCCATTCAAAAGTTCCTTTTCATCATCTTCCTCGTTAGGGTTTATCACAATTAGTGCATAAACCCTCTTCCCATTTGCAGCAATTACATCTCTTTCTTCCAAAATTGGTGCATTTTTGGAAATCAATTTACTAGTCAAGCGCGCGAATTCTCAAATCCCAGTCGCTGAAAATTAGCTGTAAGTACACAATTACAAATTCACATAGAAACCTAACCTCGAGTAACCTCTGTGTATATGTGTACTTTTTTACATGCGCTAGAGTTTTGCCTTTGCTCGCTAATGCAGCCTGGTATTTAGGGGTTCATGAATTGTGCGTTTGTGATTTGTTCATTTTGAGTTTTAGGGATTTTGTCCGTGGTCACCCTGTCATGTGACCAGGAAGGAGGTCATGGATTCAAGCCGTGGAAACAGACTCTTGCAGGAATGTAGGTAAGCCTGCGTACAATAGACCATTGTGGTCCGGGCTTTCCCGGACACTGCGCATCGCGGGAGCTTAGTGCACCGGGCCCTTTTTTTTTTTTTTTTAAATTTTTATGCTGTGGTTTTATAAGTAAGCCAAAGATGAGCTGAAGGGTAAGGTTTTTGAGGAAAAAGGTCCTAAATGATTTTAGAATTTGAATATGAACAATGGAGGTAAAGCGGAAAGTGAAAAAGAAAAAGAGAATAGAGTTTATGATGATAGGAAAGAAAGAGCTAGTACTGATGATTTTGGTCAAGCAATATCGAGAACTGCAGCTGCACAGATATGCGAAAATATTGGATTTGAGGGCTTTAACGAATCAGCTCTTGAATCATTTGCTGATATTACGGTTAAGTATCTTTGTGACTTAGGCAAGACTGCAACTTTCTGTGCTATTTTAGTTGGGAGGACAGAGGTCAATGTCTTTGATGTAATACAAGGATTAGGGGATTTGGGTGTGTCCACAGGTGCATCAAAGGTGAAACATTGTGGATTGGATTCTCGGACTATTAAGGGGATTGTTGAGTTTGTGAAATCTGCTCAAGAGATTCCATTTTCGCAACCTCTTCCATGTTTTCCAGTGATTAAAGATAAAAGGAAGATACCCAGTTTTATACAAATGAATGAAACTACAGCGTTTAAGCACATACCTTTATGGCTGCCTGCATTTCCTGATCGGCATACTTATGTACGCACCTCTACATGGAACGAGAGAACTTGTGATCCCCGAGCTGATAAAGTTAAGTTAGCAAGGCAGCGAAGGAAGGCGGAAAGGTCTTTGTTGAATTTGCAGCAACGATTGGTGTGCAACGGTTCAACCGAGGTATCAGCTTCCAATGAACCAGATGATGTTAGGATTGAATCAAGTGTTGATGCAAGTGGAAACGCATTTGTTGCAGTGTCTTCAGAAGCTAGAGAAAAAGACATGGCTGCAGTTTCCCTCGCAGCTAAACTTTCCAATGAAACGGACAAAAACCATGTTTCTTTGCCGGATATTTATTCTCCTGCAATTGAGACATTGAAGGATGATCCTTCTGAAACAGGAAATGGTGTGGAAGAAAATCCTCCTGACCAGAGGAATGCTGTCTGTTTAGAGTGTAAACCAGGTAAGAAAGTCTGGTGCGATTCTTTAGATCTGAGACTTCGGAACAATGGTTCTGGGAGAACAGCATCTGGGTTCAGGCGGGATGAAGAGAAAAATGACAAGAAGAGGAGAGCAGAGTTGATACTTAGACAATCTATTGAAAACCAGCAGGAGTTGACCCAGTTGTAAATTAGTTCATAGAATGGCTAGCTTGATGGGTTGTTCCATATATTCTGTTAGAAAAGGTCAGCAATTGATTAGGCTAGGTAAAAAGTCGGTCGAATACTTTCCTGTGAATGGCCCACGTCTATGACGAAGTCTGATGTAGCGCAAAGAATTTTTGGACATTAGTTGCTTAACCTCCATTGACTGATTTGTTCCCTTACCCTAACAAACAAATGAAACAGGAGGAAGTATGATTTTAAATGGAAACTATTGAGGATGGGATCTTGTATTTCTTGAAGGCGGACGTCTGGATTCTTTTTTTCCATGCAAATTTGAAGTAAAACTGGGAGTGTAATAATTAAAGGAATAAGAATAGATGAAGCTATGAACTCCATCTGATATATGCTACGGCAGAAATAGACAATGTCAATCATGTTAATTTTTTGCTGCTGTTTTCAGGCCCTAAAATTGTAGTTCCACACTTGTATTATTTACTATTTTCTTTATAGATGAGAGACTTTATTCCTGTGCAAAATCTTGTTCCAGCCTTGTCTGCCACCACTTGCTTCCTAGTAAATACTTCGTATGAGGATCTTTTCTTATGTTGTTCACAAAGCATGATGCAGCGTCATTTTTTTTTTTTATTTGCACCGGGTGTCCAAGTCTCTTTGAGCCCCGACTAATCCCGGGGGTGCACAGGCCCTCGGCAAGGAGTTTCCCGCATCGGTTAATTCAGGTTTTACCCAGTCCGATGGCCCTCAGAAATTGTTTGCACCCAGTGGATTTCGAACTTGAGACCTTGAAAGGGAGCAAACCCCAAGACTCAAGTCAATTGCCACCAGGCCAACCCCTGAGGGTTATGCAGCGTCATTCTTGGCTGACTGATTACTTTTGTTTATTTCGTTGCTGAGACACTTTGTAGTCTTATCTCCATTCAGAATACACTGCTTAATTTCATTGTGCTATTTATATAGAATTATAGTGATTGTCTTTAGTTGGCTGCTTGGCTGATTTGTAAAACTCAAAGCAACTAATCTGCCAAAGCCGTTGGATTGGCTAAATTCAGCTGTGCAGTCACAACACATGAAATACCAAGCTTCTTTCTCGTAAAGCCAGAAGGGTAGAGAGCTGTGTTCATTTCCTGTAATCTACTGTTAGCTATATCGTTTTCCTATGAATATTTTGCTTCCACCACATCTTACTGAAATAACAGGGTGTGGCAGCCTTATTTCGATTTATAGCTAATATGGCTGAGGATTAAATTTGCAAATTTTGATTTGATGATTTGGCTTCATCCAAGTATTAGCCAGTGTTTGCATTTCGTTTATTTGAAACAACTACGTGACAGAAACTCACAGACATCAATGTGCACTATAGTCATGATATTTACATTTTGGTTGCCTGAAACCAACAACTGTTGTGTACCTTTTTTTGAAAACTATTTTTCATTAGTTGCACTTTTTTTTAAACTCTGATGTACTGCAGCATTATATGTTGATCTCAGCGTAAAAGAAGTCTTTGGATCTCACTAGCTTCACATGGTATGGCTATCACACCTTGCTGGTAATATCCAAATTCTCTTTCTGCTTCTTCTAGTAACTTGATAAAAGCAGGATGAGAAAGAAAATCTAACGCCAGCGAAAATTTCCTTGGCGCTGCATTCACCCCGAGAGCGAGCACCGAGAAGTGCCCTTTCTTTATGATAGTTGTAACTTGAGCTTTCCTTTTCTTCCAGTTGCTGATGTTGTGGAGAAACATATTGTCAAAAAGCTTTATGATCTGCTTAACCCTGGGAAAATAGCCCCCACATATCGCTTTTGTTTTTTGGCTTTTCTTGTTCATTCTTATTCTTCTAATGTGCTGAAAAAGTTCAAGTTCTTGTTTCTCTTTTGAGAAAGTTTTAGGTGACATTTTCAGCGGAATTGGAATCTCATATATATAGTGTCTGACTACTATGGCAGCCTTATTTATTTTCTCATTTGACAAGCCATTTTAGGGTTATCCAATTTGTCCTCCCCACAAAGGGACACACCAGAGATGTCACTGTTGAAGGGGTTTTGGGTAACATGGATTGCCACTTGCCAGTAAACATTCCTACTTTATCCACTTTATATTTTCATTTTGACACCATTTGTAATGAAAATTGATTTCTCTCATAAATTCTTTTTGTCTTTTTCTTTCTTCTTTTGTTTGTTATTTCTTGTCACTTAGAAATTCTCGAAAGCAAGTTGGGCGCATGATGTCTAATTTCAATGGATAATGGGTCCATCATCTACTATTCTTTACTTAAATATTAATCTTTCATTTGTTGCATAATTCGAATTCGTGATGTGCACTTAACCAACACATCATGCGGTTGCACTTTTACTACTGAACCAAACCCCTCATTTTCTAGTCCTCACCTAATAAACGCTCACCCACAGTGTTTATGCAAAAATTTCAAGAGATCAAATCTTAGTGGTTACAAATTAAATTGCGAATACATATTATTTAAGCACGATTAAGTTAGAATGTGTGAATAAAAAAAGACAAGTGTACATTCGTTGGTCTTGTAAACACAAGTGTGGGTAAATTTCACCTACCTTATCCATTCTCCCTACCCTCCCTCACACACATAATTTAATGGAAATACTGATATCTCACTTTGAATAATTAGGAACTTGTGTTGGAGCTATGTTTCTTGAATTTTATTGTATACAAATACAACCATACAATGTGTATGCAAACCGTGGCTAAGGAAGCAACCACAGAAAGTTATGAAGTAGAAAATGACTGTTGAAGTACTGTTCACCAAAGATGTTTCCTTATTGGCTAGTAAAGAATTTGAATGGTAAGCACACTAGAAACGGGGCATTTACAAGTTCAGATATATAAAAAAAAATTAGCTTAGTACAATGCACCTGGGAATTGGGATAGATATTATGTTCATTGCTAAGTTGCTATGATAAGAACATATTTGCTGTATTCATAGCTGGCCCCTTATCCCAGCCTCTTCTGTTCCTCAATTCCACTCCATTTTTGGAATGTTCCCATTTATTCTCTTCCATTCACTACGTGGTCTAATATGAGCTTTTGTTTGAACAATTTGACTATCTTAGAGTGTTTCTTCAGAAATGTAATCAATTCTTTGGACCACAATACCTATTTTGCTGTTATGAATTAACAAACAGCATTTCTGAAAATTATGAACGTTCATTAGTAAAATAAAAAATGAATAAGATCTCTACATTCAATAAGATAAGTGAAAAGGGTTCCTCTAAACAATGACTGGCGCATTATAACCAGAACTAAATGTCCCAAAACCAATTAACAAGTGAAAATGGAGTAGTTTAATATTAACAGCTAGAGCAATTCCAGTACGTTATCACTTCATCAGGTTGACATCAATTTCCAAAGGAAATGACTTCCCACGGTGCTTAAAGAGCATAAAATCAAGACTGGCAGGTGAAGCAAACACCTGCATTCTAGTCTTTTAGTAGATATTTCAATCTTTGTAATTAAAAGAAAATACTTTCCGTCTCAATTAATGTGATGGTATTTGATTGAGCATGAGTTTAATAAAGAACGGAATAGTTTTGAAACCTATGGTCTAAAACAAGTCATAGACATTTGTGTGGCTATAAATTTCTCATTAAAGGTAAAATGAGAAGTTTAAAGTTAAATTATTTGTAAATAAGAAAGTATGTGATAGACTAAAAAAGAAAAGTATGTCACATCAACTGGGACATAGGGAGTATTAGATACTATATACTCCGTTCCAATTTAAGTAAACATATTTGACTATGTACAAAGTTTAAGTAAGAAATGAATATTTTAAAATTTGTGATCCTAAATAAGTCATAATATTTGTGTGGCTATAATTATGTTAAAAGTTATGTTCAATATCCTAGGGTATATATTTGTGTGGGTATAAATTTCTCGGTTAAGGTAGAACTGAAAGTTTAAGGTAATTAAATTCATTCCAAATTAAGAGAGGGGTAATTCTTTTTGGAACAAACCAAAAAAAAAAAAAATGTTCACATCAACTGAAACGGAGAGAGTACTACTAACATCTTGAGAAACACCCACAAGAACAGATCAGTTTTTGTATCCCACAACATGTCATGTAGCTAGCTATACCATAAAAAATGAGCATAAGTTGCGAATAGATCCAAGAAAACACAGAATGTGGTTTAAAAATAACGTTGTTTTAATATCTGATTCTCATTCTACCACTAGCTTTGATGGTCTTGCAGTTAGATGATACAATTGTACTCTAAGTGATGGCTATATTTCCTCTTCCAAACATATATTCAGGTTCTCTAATGCATAATCAATATTTGGATTAGCTTAGGTTTTTCTCTTGTAGTTAGGTCCGTTTTCGTAACCGTATTCTAAAGGTTTTTAGCTTTGATTACAGCTCGCACAAGGATATGAGCTGAATTAAGGGGAATAATATTTCTTGTTTTGAGTGCGAACTAATGGTTACAAGCCGAAAAGAAGCTCGGTTTGGCTCTTGAAATATTAGGGCTAGGTGGTTTGCTCATTTAGATTAGTATAGAAAAGAGAATCAGAATTCAGAGCTACTTTGTGAAGTCATAACTTAACTACTGTAGGTTGTACAAATTGGAATGGGACACTTAAAAGCTGCTTCCGCCAATGTAAGTACGTAACTTATAATGCTTATTGCACTTGTTTTTGACATTGAAATATATTTTTTGCAGTCTAAACATATTGATAGTAGAATGCAGCACTTTGATGTCCCTTTGGTTTTCTAGTTCCCAGGAAATTTTGAAGAGATGATTGATTGTACCACTAATTATCAAAGTTCATTGCCTATCTTCCACATTCTCATGCACTTCCACATGCGGACCGGGTCACCGAATCCGTTAGCCTTAGCAAAAATCATGTATATATCATTATATATTTGTATTTGTATATATAGTGAGGAACCTTAAGTATTTTCCTTGACGACCCCCCCACCCCCCCCAAAGGATCAAACTATACTCCATTAGTAGTCAACTAGTTTTTTTTTTTCTTTTATCCTTTCTGAATTAGTTTAGTTTCGGTACATAATAGTCAATTTCGGTACATAATAGTCAATTTTTATTTTTTTTTTTGTACAAATCCCTCCCTCAAAATCAAGAGCCCAAAACGCAGCTCATGTGAAATAGAAAATTACAAACCCTTCCGCACAGGCCCTAAATATTCGAGCAAAAATCACTTCGACAAAATAGATGTATTCGTCGACTCCGACTCGGCAAAGGTGACTGAGAATTTGAGACTCTTCTTAAATTCCTCGACTGTTGTATACCATTGATCTTAATTTTATTTGAGTAAGTTTTTGATATTTTTGAAGTTTGAACACCCTTTTGATCTTGTTTTTCTTTTCCTTTTTTTTTTTTTGTTGAAAAAAATTAGAAATCATGAAATTTGAAATAAGTTTAAATCCCACTTTTTGCTTT